AAGGAAGGAAGGAAGGAAGGAAGGAAGGAAGGAAGGAAGGAAGGAAGAGGGCCAGGCCTGGTAGTGCTCACTTTTAATCCCAGCACTCAGGAGGCAGAGGCAGGTGTATCTCCGTGAGTTCAAGGCCAGCCTGATCTACAGAGTGAGTCCCAGGACAGCCAGGGCTATACAGAGAAACCCTGTCTTGAAAAACCAAGAAGGAGGAAGAAGAAGATGACAAAATCAAAGCCCAATGTCACTGTATCAATAGGGGAAGAAAACAAAGTCCTTATGGAAAAAGATGAATAGTTTTCTCCGAGGTACAATATTTTGGCGTCAGGCCTCCTAGGGTTCAATTTCCAGGATGGTTAATAATAATTACATGACCTATGTGAGTTATATTCACCTAGCTAGGGTTTAGATCCTGTTCTATATTTTGGACATTGATTCGGTTTCATACCTGTCTCTTTAATAAAACATCTTAACAAAAAAGCAATTAAGGAGAGAAGGGTTTAATTTTGCTTTCAGTTTCCGGATACTGCAGGAAATCACCACAGTTGAGAGCAGAGAGGTCAGTTCATACATGCCCGCTAGCCTGCTTGTGTGCAACTTGATTTGGGAATGGTGCCGCCCGCAATGGGCATTAATTTAATAAGACATCCCTCCCACAGACGTGCCCACAAGCCAACCCAAGGTAGACAATCTCTCACTGAGAGTCTTTTGCTGAGTGAATCTAGGTTGTCGAGTTGACAGTTAAAGCTAGCCATCATTGTTGTAATAATAAAATGCTCAAGGAAGCCTGGTAGGTGTTAAAGGGCTTAGGAAAAGCTGGATGGGCCCCATTGGGAAGGACTCATCAGGCCCCTTTGGTGGAAGACTAATTCCCTGCTGTGCTGTGAGTGAGCAACTGCCTTGTGAATCTGGGGGTCACTTGACCACAGTTCTTGGTGTTTCGTGCACATCAGCCTGGCTAGAGCAGTTGGCTTCAGCTGTCTACCATCTGACAGACGAGTTTTTCTGACTCCCAAGGATAGAGGTGGAAATACCTCAATTCACCCTTCTGTGACACCACATCTTTCTGGATCCAGAGTGTTTCGAGGCAGTCAGGGGTGGTTGATGGGGTTCGTGATCCATTAGCGAGCTGTGCTTCTTTGGGTGGGAATGTAGCTCAGTGCTAGCGAAAAATCTCCCAATGAGGGGCTTACCCCAGCTCCTGCCTAGCACAGAGGAAGCCTGAGTTCAATCCCCAGTAATACACACAAAGAAAAGAAACAAAACCAGCCGCGCCTCTTTTTAACAGGAAATACTCAGTAAATCCCGAGCAGGAGACACGGGGGTCAAGTTGGAGGTGAACGAAAGGTCAGTGTGAGCCTTGTGGTCGCAGTAGGTAAGCAAGGTGCTTGCATGAAAGCAGGACCCACAGCGAAGTGCCGATTAGCAGCTTTCCTCCAAGACTTTCCTCGGGGTCCTCTAGCCATCCCAATGCCTTTCCTGCCCCTAGCTCCTATGAAGGGTTTCCTGGCTTAGGGATGAAAAAGCAAGTCTTCCACTTGCTTTTCAGTGTCTGTTACCAACCTTTCTTTTCACTAGGATCCTTGGTTCCTGTACCAGCCTGATGCAAGCCATCAAGGTCCTCGTTGTGGCCTCCAAGGACCTCCAGAAGGAGATCGTGGAGAGTGGCAGGGTAAGTGGAGCTGTGGGTCAGTTCCTTCCCCCTCGCCTGTGCTCAGGGTTGTACTGCAGCATGGGTGGATTTGCCATTCCTAGGGAAATTTACAGACACTGGGAAGTTGAGGATTCCAATGGCTGCCTCTAGGGAGCAGTCAGCCAGTAGCTTCTAGCCCCGGATCCCAGAGGCCACACACAGACCTGCTGTGCAAATGCAGCATTATAAGTCTAGGTCTTCAGGGAACAACTGAGGACTTGGGGAAAGCGGGTAGATCTCAGGGATAAACCTGGTACTGTTCCGCAGACATACAAGACTGGTCCTATAGACTCCAGACCTGCAGATACTTAACCCCTTCCATAATCCAGTGTTCATAAGGCTAAGGCAGAACGATCTCACGTGTGACCTCGGCATCGGGTGTGGAACTGGACTGTTTCTCAAAACTCCCTTCATGAATTGAGGCTATAGCTTGGTTGTTAGAGTCCCTGCCTGGCATCTCTAAAACCATGGATTCCATCCCAAACTGTACATAAAACCAAGCATGGACTATCTCTGACATTGGGCGTCAGATGCAAACAGATCTCTGTGAGTCCAAGGCCAGCCTAGTCCATACATAGAGATCCTGTCTTAAAGCAAGAACTTAATGGGCTAGAGGGATGGCTCAGTGGTCTAGAGTACTTCCTGGTCTTCTGACCCAACACATCAGGAGGTTCACAACTGCCATATAGCTCCAGCTCCAGAGCTGATGCCTCTGTTGTCACCAGACACCTGCGCTCGCCCTTCCTTCCTTCCTTCCTTCCTTCCTTCCTTCCTTCCTTCCTTCCT